TCAGTCCATGGCAAATGGTGTGGCTGAAATACTATGGTTGCAATCACTGTTTGAATAATTGGGTATTACCTATGAGAAGCCTTTAATGTTGTACTGTGATAATCAAGCTACTATTAATATAGCCCATAATCCAGTACAACATGATAGAACTAAGTATATCGAAATGGATCGACATTTTATTAGGGAAAGGGTTGCATCTCAAGAAGTATGTCTTCCATATATCACCTCCAACATGCAGTTTGCCAATCTTCTCACCAAGGAAGTTTCAAAGAAGAAGTTAGAAGCAGATCTATGCAAGTTGGGAATGACAAACATCTATTCCCAACTTGAGGGCGAGTGTAAAGACCACTGATGATGTAGTCGTGGTCCCCACAACTTTATTGTACTCGTATATCTACAGTCTTTTATTAGTCATTAGTTATTTCAGTTAGTCTGCAATTAGTAGTTAGTTATTTCAATCAGTCTACAATTAGTAGTTAGTCTTTTATTTTTGCCATGTAAGCAGTAAGGGTATTTCAGCCCTTTTATCTTTACTTAAGAATTAATATAAATAGAAAGAGGGGAGTGGCAGATAGAGTATTCTCTCCCTTTCTAAATCTCTCCTTCGAATCCTTACTCTCCCCTTCTCCTTTTCTCCCTTCCCTCTCTCTTCTCTTCTCAGTTTTCTTATTAAATTACACTCTATCTTTGACTGATTAGTAGTCTTATTTGACTACAGATCTAATGCTAGATTGATCCTAGGAGAATCCGATTCTCAGGTTCGGGCTGAAATTTTTTGGAATTCAGCCATAAACCCTAGCCAGTTCAGCCAACATACATATGTTTTTCAGTCCGTTCAACATCTATGGCCTCCTTCTTTCCTAAGTTATTTTTGGTGTGTTTGTATACCTCTGGTTGCATCAACAGAAGTGCTGTTAGGTTGCATGTGGCAAAAATCAGCATTGGGAGTAAGTCTGTTTGGACTGAAATTGTAGTTTTCTGTTGTTCCTACTTTGTTTTATAATGGCTTTAGACAATTAGCAACAACTAGGAATGCATTTTTTTACTGGATGAAATGCTAAAGATATCCTTTACCTCATCTCCATTGTTCCTCTGAATGGCTTAAATTACCTAGAGTTGTCCAAGGTAGTTAGACTTCTTGAGAAAGGGAGGGAGGGAGAAAATTATATGATTATGAAGATTATGTTATGGTTGCTGTCATTTATGAAACCGACAATAAGAAAAAACTTTATGTGGGCTGAGACAGCTAGAGATATATGGGAACAAGCTAAAGCAACATATGATGAGCAGAGACTACGTGATATGCATGTATATGTGATATGTGATACGCATGCTGTTCATTATTTGCATGTGATGCATGCTATGATGAGACCATTAAGACAGCTAGAGATTTATGGCTCGAGATGAATCAGATCAAAGTCCATGATCATCATGTTTTGATGTTTATGTGATATGCACGTTGTTTATTATTTGCATGTGATGCATGCTACGATGAGACCATTAAGACTACATAAATCTCCCTTACGTTAAATATTTAAATTGTGCATGGGATGTTATGAACATCACATGTGGCCTTCCACTATTGTAGAGTGGATGTGTTGTCACTTGTTGTGCCTTGTGAGCATGTATGCCATAGATATATATGGGGCTATTCCTACGAAGAGAACACATGAACACCCTATTAAATATGAGATATGATGGGGTAGGATACCATTAAATTTCAAGAAACTATTACATGAGGGGTTTGACGATATCCTGCACCTTTCAAGAAGGTAGGTCTGACTTGCTTGAGATATGATGGGGTAGGATACCATTAAATACCAAGAAACTAAGAATATGGACCAAGAAACTATTATGTGAGGCCCATATATCTTAAGGACCAAGAGATACATTGGAACTTGCTTGAGAAAGCATTGAACAAGAGTTATTCACCCATTGAAAACTGGTGAACCAAGAACTTATCATGTGAGGTTAACCAGGGTTTGATGGGAACCCAATCCCCACTAGAAATCCTTTAAATGAGGATTTTCATTTCTCATTAAAGGAGTGTGATATCCGAAGAATTAGTGGGAAGCGCCATTACGGTTTAATGACACAAAATCATATGGTTTAAAGTGAATAGACCAGGAACTAATTAGAACCAATATCTTTCTACAGATTTAATTGGCAAATTTGAACCCACTCGCTAAGACCCTACACACAAACCAACTAACTGGACCCAAATTCCAAGATTGGCTAAGGAATTTAAGAATAGTTCTAAATTCCAAAAAGAAAGCTTACATCCTAACTAAACTGGTCCCATAACCCCCTATAAATAATGCAAACCTTGAAGAAGAATTTGCATATGATAAGCAGAAAGAGGATGACATGCAGGTCAGATGTTACATGTTGGAAGATGCAGCTAGCATCCTTGCTCACCTACAAGATTTGTATGGTGAAAGAAGCCGCTCAGTAAGATAGAGATATCTAAGAACCTCTTTAGGTTGAGAATGTCGGAGGGACAGTTGGTAAATGGCCACTGTCTTAAAATGATAGATCACATTGAACAACTTGAAAGGCTGGGATTTGTGTTGGACCCCGACTTGGTTATTGACCTGATTTTGCAATCCCTTCTAGACTTCTTTTCTCAGTTCATGATGAACTTTCACATGAACAAGATGGAGTGCACACCATCTGAGCTCCTAAACATGCTGGTAACCACAGAGGGAACCGTAAAGAAGCCTAATGCCAAGGATATGATCCTTGCTGTGGGCAATGCTTCATCTTCAAAAGGAAAATCCAGCAAGAAGAAGCAGGGTCCAAAAGCTAATGGAGGGATCAAGAAGGAGAAAGCTAAGAACGCCAAGAAGAAAAGAAAGTGCTTCCACTACAGGAGAATGGACATTTGAAGAAGAACTACAAAGAGTACCTCCCAAGTCTAAAAGGGCAAGGACAAGCCTTCAGAAGGTAAGTCATCATTACTCATTGTGGAGGTGAACATTTGTGCATCCATGTAAGATCTAAAGAGAAGTAGAAGGCTGAGGGACAGTGAGTGGACCCTACGAGCAGGAAATGGAGCAAAAGTTGTTGCTTTAGTTGTGGGGACCTATGGCTTGCCACTGCCATTAGGGTTGAGTTTAGAACTCAATAATTGTCTTTATGCTGTAGATGCAGTTAGGAATTTGATTTCTTTCAGTTTTAGACAGTTTATACAATTACCTTTACAAACAATAGTTATTTGATTTATTTTGGAAATAAATTTTATTGTTCTGAAACTTTGATGGATGGTTTATATCTCATCAATTTTGATGGTTCCTTAGAAACATTGAGCATGATAATATTGTTTTCATTCCCAAAAGGCCAAGAAAAGTGATTAGTCCCAAGTATATGTGGCACCTGAGGCTAAGTCATATTGAAGAGGACAAGATAAACAAGTTGGCTAAGGATGGACAATTGGGTTCATTCATCTTAGAGCACTACCTAACTTGTGAATTGTGCCTTCTAGGAAAAATGACAAAGCTGCCCTTTGTAAGACATGGGGAAAGGACTGTAAACATACTTGCCATCATACATTGTGATGTGTGTGGGTCCTTATATGTTACACAGTGAAAACATGTACAGTGATACAAGTATGCCTATGTAAACCTGTATTTAGCTTGCTTCCTTTCTACATTTTCTCATGTACTCTCCTTTGCTAACTCTTTCTCTCAAAAAAAAGAAAAAAAAAAACAAGTGTGGTAAAACCAGTTTGGAAGTACACCTGGATTTTGCTCCCCTTCTCTTGTATGATTTTCAGTTATTCCTAACTTCTTTAAATGAGTTATTGTTATCTATTAAAGAAAAACATGTTCATCCACAAAGAGAAGTGTTGACAAATAGGCCATCATGTTACGGGCTCTTTTCCGGGCCTTATTTTTGGACTTTCTTTACTAATGGATCATGGACCTTAAATTTCTCTAACATTCTTATTGCTGACACCTAACAACCAAGGGCGTTATTGTAATTATCTTTTATTCAGTTACACAGTTAATGTTAAAAGCAATGGGGCCTCACATTGGCTCCCACAATTGAAGGGGATTGGAGAGATTTCTTCTTCATTCTCTTCTTCTCTTTCTCCTCTTCTCTTCTACTGTTTTCTCCTTCATTCTCTACCAATTTTCTGCTTTTATTTCTTAATTTTTATTGCTGCACAAGACAAGTAGAAGAAAATAGAGTTGAGAGTTTTGTTGATTAGAAGACTTGATTACAGAAGAAAAGAAGATAAAGAGGAAAAAAGATAGAGAAAGAGAAGAGAAAAGAAAGAAAAGGTTCGAGAGAGCAAAAGCATGGGCTGCTAGCCCTTCTTGTTGGTATTTATAATAAAATGAACAATAACAGAATTTCCCTCATACAACAACAAATAGAAATAAAGTCCAAATATGATACCAGAAAGGCATGATATCTGAAAAAATGATAAACAATCAACTGGTATCATAAAAAGTGGTAACTATCAATCAGATAGTATTCATCAAAATTCACAGAGGGATTTCAATTGATCAAAGTTCTTCCAGTACCATACCCTTCCAACTTCATAGATATTGCCAATATTTATGTTGTACTATTATAAAAAGAAACAAATATGTTATAATCCAATATAGAGCATCATGGACTAAAGATAACTTGATTCTCTAATAAGTAAACAGGATCAAAGACCTCTACATGGGTATCTGAGTTAGATAGCGTTCTATGAAACTATGTGGCCAATTAAATACATTTAAGTCCTTTGCATGGGGTGAAGTATGCAAAAAAAGGGTCATTGCTTGGTGTAATGATAAAATCTCAGGCTGGTAAACACAAGTTTGAGGGTGAGACCAGCCATTTTGTGGAAAATATGCCAAAGGTTAGGACTATATCCAGTCCACCCCACCCAAGACTCCAGATAGCTGGACCACCATTGGGTAATGGCCTTTTTAGTATGAAAAAGCAAAAAGGAGCCACATTATTGTAAAAGTTAAATTTATAATCCCCTTGAATTTGTATACCTTCCTGTGTCGGGGACTGCCCGGTGCTTCAGGAGTACCATCATTGTGTTTGGCATGCCTTAAGTACTGGTCCTGTGGAAAGCTATTATTAGAATGTGCAATGGGTTGAATTGCAAATTCAATAAAGTAAAAAAAAAAATGCAATGTCACTGCCCTCTCTAACTTGCTAGCCATAACCATAAGCAACAAAATGTTAACAGTACAATTAATGAATACTATCATAATCAAGTACTTCTCTTTTTCTTTTCACTTTTAGGATTCACCTAGGATTAGAAATTGATTTGATGAATTATAAATGGGAACTCATGGAAACCAAGAAGTTTCAGTGTGGATGCATAGGTAAGGTGATCACAGACACTTGATCAACAATTTTTCTTTTATTATTACTTTGACAGATAAGACACCTGAGTAACTATGGCATATATGCATAGCAATGTTGAAGAGCTTAACATGTACTTTTCTGTTTAAAAAGACGAAAAGTAAACATCAAATATGGGAGAACTTCTCATCATGAACCTTAGAATGTTAATCCTAGAAATTATAAAATGATCCAAATAACATAATACAGATTAAGACATTAAGTCAAAGGGGGACTTGGCAGAAATTCAGTGGCAGGTGATAAAATAAGTCAAGATGTGACGATGAGATCAAAATATACAGAAAATATTGTAGAAAAGAAGGCCATGTAATGGTAAAGGATAAAAAAGCACCTTCATGGATTTTTCACAGTCAGACTCATCTCCAGAACTAATATCTAATAAACCATAATGGATCCAATTTCTCCGCCTAACAGATCGTTTAACCTTCACTTCCTCACAGTTGCTAGGTTCTACATCTAGCTTTATAGGTTGAGGATCAATGACTGCTTCCATTCCAAAACTCCGTTAAACGGATGAAGTGTGATCTGATTCCCTTTTAATGCTAAAGCATACATCAAAGGGAATATTTCCATGACTTGAGATTCCTGGATGTTCTTCTGTCAAACAATTCTGAAAACATTTTGTCCCCATCGATATTTAACTGCAAGGCAAAAGATAGATGATTTACACAAAGCTGATATGAAAGTTTTTAGCATTCTAAAATTACAAACAATACTGAACAAGCCAACCAATATAAAAATTACCCTATGACACTACCACCAGTAGCTAAGGGTTTTCTTGTGTATTTGGTTTAAAACTTGAAACAGCATATTTAGCCTGTCTAGATATGATCCATAACCTGGTGCTAACAAAGTTTAAAAAAAAATGCTAGCTTCTATCTAATTCCTAATGCAGATTGAGCCTCTAATTAACAATGAGTTAAATCTCTCACAATTAGTCATCTCATGGACCAAAAATTTCAGTTCAGCTCCCTGGAAATACAGACATGTTTTCAGGGAAATCAATATCCTAGCAAAGAGATTCAATTCTACTTTTAGCTGGATAAGGGCTGCAAATGGGTTGGTGGATGTGTTGGCAAAGCAGAGTTAACAGGCCTATTTTATTTTGGGAAAAGCTGTAACCTGATGTATTTTGGGGCTTTCATGTAACTTGAATGTGAAATTTGGGGATGACACTCTATTCATCAAGTTGTATTAACTACTTTTTAATTAAAATTAATGAATTTATTTTCTGCTGATCAAAAAATAAATCTCCCACTACCAGTCTTCCACTTATTCCACCTGAAGCTAGTTTGGCATAGGAATTATTAGGACCAGAGGCCAACCCAGAAAATTTCACCTTTTTTCTTCCTTTTGTGGGGGAGTGGTTGTCATTAATGGGAAATTATAAAATTTTCTAAAAGGCTCTGTAAAATATTTGGTATTTTAAACAAGTATACACTATTAGAATCAAAATTAAAGGCAAGATTTTGTTTTTCTTTTTTTTTGAAAGTATAAGTTAAAGTATTTCACTAAGATCAAAGAGCCAAAGTACAGTGAGGCCTCCGTACAAGGAGAAGCTGTAAAGGCGAGATTTTGTGTGAAATATATTAGTAATTCAACCCAATTCATTTATATAGTCACAAGGATACCTTCTTTCTATACTATTCTTTTGAACCTTTTCTTCAAATGCAATATAATATTTATCATCTTCATTACCTAAGTTAACATTCAGAGTTTAGGATTAATCAAATTAACAATCTAAAAAGATCTTAAGAAAACTTACTGCGGGGAACCTGGGGATGGTTATTTTTGTTTATTGCTTTTTTTTTCTCTCTTTATGGGAAACCAAGCAACTTGCTATGGACCTAGTAGTGGCTTTTTTATGCACTAATGATAAACTAAAATTGTTCTCTTGGGGGTAAGGTATCAAAAGTTCAACTTTTCTTATTTCTTGGGTGGAGGCATATTCGAGAGCAACCAGGAAAAATATTTGCCTATCAAAAGACATGAAAACTTTACTATGTTATCGAAAATTGATGACCAGCCCCTTGGGTTCTGCCATTGAGTCTTACATCCATTTAGATTATCTATCTTAGTGTAATTATTATGGATAGAAAGAACTGCACATAATTCTAATCCAACTTAATAAAAAGGAAAAAATGCAAGGGTTTCCATCTAGCAAGTCTTCACAATTAGAAGATGAATTTCAGTGTGATATTTTTTTTTTTTTGATAATTGAATTTCAGTGTGATATTTTAAAGAACACCATGACCTAATTCAACAATGGACTGAAAGCCAAGGCCTGTATAAGGTCAGGCTAGACCACCCTATAAAACCAGCAGAGAAATTGGCTAAACATAACAAAAATTTCCATCATGCACTAGATAACCCAACTGTGGTGTATGGAGTCTAAGTTAGCAACATGACAGAGAATAAGCTGCAGTTTATGGTCTTAATGTTTCTGGCAGAACATCAGGTAACTACCAGAAAAATGCCATCTTTGTGAAGGCCTCTTTATCAGGAAGAAAATGCAAAGGCTCTTCATTGATATACAGGATTGAAGAATTAAAATTAGATGCTAAATTTATATTCAGTTTAATATTACAAGAGTACAATATCAATTGCATACAAACAAAAGATCTGAACTTGAGTTCAGATTATGATAACCAATGCCAGATCTAACTCATAAATAGTTCAGTTTTTATCTAACTGTGGAATTGTAGGCACCGATTCAAAAATTAAAAGCATGTATGAGCCTGCATAGAAGATGGATAAATAGGGAAAAAAAACATGAATATGAACAAGAAGAATAAATAAGCAACAAGCCTCTAGGAACCAAAAGATGGATGGCCGTATTTAACAGGATCAAAGAACAAACTAACCTCCTGAAGAATTTTCCTGTTTTCCATGAAAACTGTTTTATTAGCCACAGAAGATCATGAATCCCAACCAACAAATCTCCATGCAGAGCGAAATTTTGAAGGGGGAAAAACCACTGTTCTCACCTAGAACAGGAAATCAAAACAAGCCCAATTCACAAAATATCCAAAACTAACTGCCAGACAATAATTTCCTGCACAAACCCCACAGAAAAGAACGTTATTGTAACCCCAAAATTCAACAAAATATGGTCTCATGGAGAGAGAAAATAAAATATTCGTACCCAACTCCCCGGTACTTCTATTTTTCCCTGTTTTGCAGAAGAGCAATAGAGAAAGAACGTAGATAGAACCCAACCTTCAACTAAACCAACAAATGATCCAAACCCAATTTGCTTTCTAGCCGAGCTAACACAAAATAACATATTTGATCCACTATCATTAATTAAAAACCAATAGATAATTATTTAAATTTAAAATAAAGAAACAAATTACCTAAAAATGGAGAAACCAATGACCCAATTGAAGATAAATTATACCCCAAAAAAATGACTTCATCATATCAATGAAAAGAGAAGAGCACCCACATGATTTTTCTCAAGACTCAATGAAACACAGTAGTATCTAACCAAAACTACCCAGAAAAAAAAAAGGAAAATACAGAAAAGATACCTTAAAAGAAGCTAAAATTCGATAGCGTCGTTGTACCGTAGGTTCCCTCTATTTCTTCAATTAAATTAAATTAATCACAATAATAATGTCATAAATATGGTAAGATAAGGACTACTTTGTCAGATGAGACTAATGGCTTTCTGTTTTCCATTCCCTCTGAGAGTTGGAGAGAGAAGAGAGTTTTAGAGAGAGAAAGAATCCGAAAAATTACAGCTCAAGGAGATGGAGGGAAGAGAGTCAACCAACGACCCTCACACGCACGCTCTCACTAACCGAAATCTCTGAAAGACGGAAGGCTAAACCAATCAAAACAACTAACCACGACAAACAATCCTCTCTCTCTCTCTTTCCTCTTTCTATGTACTTTCTTTTTCTTTTGAAAATGAAAAATTTAAAACAATTAAAAAAGAGAGAAAATTAGGTAGTACTGTCCTATTGCAATTATGATAGTACCTAAATCTGTACAAGCTCTTTTCAAATCAAACCCTAAGTGAACCCATTATGTAACCATACGTGAAACCACAATGATTAGATGAAGTTATGGATGTAATTAGTATGTCATGCTTCTGCGTGGTAAATTTCTGTACTGTAGGACTACGACCTACACAAATTAATCAATAATCAATAATTATCCGACCAGATTGAAGTACTTTAGTTATGGTAGTCCTTGGAATAGCGTAGCTCCAGAGTACCGTATGCGTGTGATTAAAGAAAAGTAAAGAAAAATAAAATTTCTCATGGTCTTTAATTCTTTGTTTTTTTCTTATACCCTTAGTCTTAACAAAATTACGAAAATGCACCTTAACGTGTTTGACCAAGGAGATTGTTCGTTGCTCTGTTCAGATCCATTACTCCAAAACAAAGCCATCCGAATTGTTTGGCTGCAGGAGAAAAGGAAAGCAGGAGTAATTATTCTCCAAAACATAAACCCGTTTATCTTTTGGTCAAGCCTAAACCCCCTGGGTATTAAGGGTCCATTTGATTTATAAGAATTGGAATTGAAATCAGAATCAAAATCTCTTGGATCAGAATCTGAATGATTTATTCTTAATTTTTCATAATTTTTAATTTATTTTTAAAATCGACTATAAGGGAGAGAAACCAAATAGCCCTCCTTCAAATTGAGGAATGCCATTTTATAAGAATTGAAATGGGATTCCACCAACCAAACAGTTGGAATAGAAATAGGCCATCCCGATTTTAATTCTAAACCCCTACTTCCATAAACCAAATGGAACTTAAATTTGGTATGAAAGTCAAAACTATTGCGTACTATGAGTTTTGAAAAAAAACCCGTGAAACAATTAATCAAAATTTATTTTTTGGAAACAATTAATCCAAGTCGTACATGGGTTTGGAGCCAACCCGAATTCCGAATTGGTTAGTATATCGGGTAAAAAACTGGGGCAGCTTTTTCCAAAATAAAAAATAAAAAGTTGACTCGGGTAACCAGATTCCTTCGTTCCTTCCGGCCCACGCGCCCATTGTTTTGGTTTCTCTAACAAGAGGCCCTAAAACCGGGAGCGCTCAGGTTTTTTATGTGGAGACGAGACAAACGAGGGAGAGAGACATGGTACAGAAGCAGAAGTACTAGTGGCATCTATACCGGAGGCATTTAAATATTAAAAATCGGACTTTTTTTTTTTTTTTTTGGTATTCATATTAGAAATTGGATTTGCTCTCGCACAGTCCTCTGCAAATTTGCATTGAAAATATTTTCCCATGAAAGTATATAATAACGGAGATATTTCCATTTCACGGCTATAAAATAAGACTTAGAATGGTGTAAACAGGAACTTGTGAGCACTGAATCCGATATCTGAATATTGGTAAATATTGATTTACAATGGCTCTCAGCTCTCAGTTGGTAATATCTCTCAGCAGAGACATGGGACCAAACTCCGCTGTCACGTGTGACCCGAAATCTATTTCGGGTCTAATCAACTAAGAAATATATAAGGATCTATATTAAAAGATAATATACTATAACAAACCAATCATCTATATCATTCTTTTAAAAATTGTGTAATTTATGTTTTTTGATATTTCTACAATTTTATAAGCTTTTATAATTATTGGTAATTTATTTTACTTATATTATTTAGTAATTTGGTGCAATTTCTAGTAATAATTTTTTGGTAATTTCATGCTAAGTCTAAGTGGGTGTTTGATAACACTGAATCTATCGCTTATTTCTAAAATACTTGCTTTTCAGAAGTAATAGACATTTGGGGTCATGTCTTAAAAGTTTATCTGAATGCCACTTTCAGATCTTAAACTTTAAGACCCAAGCCAGGCATTAACGCGGTTAGATGCGTTTCAGACCTGACCAAAAGTTTAAAATATCCTTGATACATTTAATAATGACTAATTATACCTAGGGGTGGCTACAAGCCGAGCTCTTCATGAGCTATCGGCTTGCCTCAGTTTCAACTGAGCTTTGAGCCGAGCTAGAGCCATTTTACAAGCTCGATTAATAAACGAGCCGAGTTGAGCTCGAATTTATATATATATATACAATAAAAATATTATAATTCATAATTTTTTAAATATCAAATAAAAAAATTTACATATAATTTTTTATTTTTATAAAACATTTTTTTCTCAAATCAAGCTCGAACCGAGCTGAGCTTGAGCTTACAAGGCCGCTGCAAGGGTCTTTAGTTGCTCCCTAACCCTCGATGGGGGGCTGTGAGGACTACAACTCGCGCACCAGCTACCTAATAATGGGTGAGACTGGTACGGTGGAAGGACCCACATCGAAAATCACCTGCGATGAGATAAACCACAAATGATTAGTACAATGAGATAATCACAATAAGAAAATCATACAAATACCCCAATTATCTATACCTTCTCGCCCACAATGCCTTCAAATGGAACTTGTGGGGCACCTACATCAAGTTGAGCGTCATCTGCCTCCACCCGCTTCAAAACAAAAGACTGTAAACAAGTTAGTAAAAGGGATGCCATGGTAATTGCGATGGTAGTAAAACAAATACATCAGAAATATAAATTATTACCAAATCAATCTTCTTAGGCTCATTCTTATGAGGACGGAAAGCCATCTTCTTCACACATCCACCTGAGATGCGGATAGAAACAACTTTGGCTGGGGAAACTGGCATTGCCTATTGCATAGACTCTATGTCATCCGCGTCTCTTACTTCGGGTGTCGGGGCTGGGGGCTCTTGCCTAACCCCTTCTGGATCTGTTCGTGGTGAGCCCCTAACTTGATCCTCCCAAACCCGAGATGACACAACGTCCAATTCGGGGCCGCGTGGGACAGTTGATGTAGGAGGGCAGTTGCCTTCACCCTCGCCGATCTAGCCCTCTTTTCCGTAGGAGGGCAGCTGCCTTCACCCTTCTCTAGAGCAAGGTGCTTCCCCTTTCGAACAACACCCATGAATTCTCATTCCTCTATAATTGGCGGGCTCAATTGAGGATTAACCAGCGCATGCTCCTACCATTGCATGACCTAGAGGGGGAGCCATAACATGACATGGGCGGGGAGTCGCAAACATGAACATTTCGAAGCCCCCAAACAACGAGAACATGTACGCAAGATGGAGGAACTTACAAGCTTGAACCCTCCCATAACCTGCCATAGGGAGCCACAAACTTCTCAGGAATACCAAATCATGCCTCCGGGTCCAAAATACATCCTCCCCTGAAGACTGAAGAAATTGGGCACCCAGATCGTCGTAGTCGAACTGGCAGAGGATCCTATTAGGGTGATAAGCTATAACTTGGGCTTCACTGGTGCGGTCTAAGTATGCGATCACACTGAGCCAAAGAATAAGACGCACCACACCTGCAAGGGGATGCGCCACCTCCACAACCCACTGCTGATCACCATCCTCAAGAACAACGTTGCCAACACAGAACAACATAGAATGTTGAACAACCCAGGTATAAGGCCTCCACATGAAACCTTCAATGGATGCTAGCTTCAACTCAACCTCATTTACCTCAAAGTCCTTGAGCCTTGTAGCGCAAAGCCATCGCTTTCCACGGCAAACCCCCAATGAAAGATCTTTGGTCTCGTCTCCCTTTAAAGCTGCAATAGTGACATTCATAGGAGAGAGACGTCGGGGCATGACACTGAGCTCCAAACACTCACAAATGTACCTGGATCTATCATCTGATGGACTGTGTTGTCCATCTGCTCGAGCAGGTACCCCAAAAACAACAATGCTATCCGAAGTCGGTGACCTTTGGCAACCATCACGACAAGGGGGACCGGCACCGTGCGAAGGCCATAACCAAGCAGCCCTGGGAGAAGGAAACAAGACGCGACATACAGAATAAATGCTGCAAGGTGGCCGATGGTGGTAAGGGCTTCTTACCACCTATACTAGTAGCAAGGGGAAAGGATGAGGGTTTTGATGTTGTTGATGGGAGTTAACTAATGTGTTTGTATGGGCACTTGGGTCGGTTGGTGTCATTCAAGTGTCAAGAGCCTAGGGCTGATAGCTCAAAATCACTGAATAGCTATTCTAGCTGGGCGCGTTATATCTTAGGGAATCCAATGTTTTTTTGGTTGCTAAGGGATGCCAGACTTATATGCTTTGTAGATTGTTTCCTTGATCTCCCTGGTAAGGAGGGAGTGAGTTATATAAAACCTTTATTGGATCACCGGTGTTGTCGTACTCACACATTTGTGGGTGCGTTCGGTGAATTTGCTATCACCGTAGAGGATGTTGTTGCCTTATTGGCATTACCAATTGGTGGGTCAGTGTCTACCCACCACCAACAGTTTCTCGAGTCCCTTCCTACCAACTTGTTGGGGCTCTATGAGGAATTGTTGCGGGAGATTGCTGAGTTTAAGTTCAAAGTAGACCAATCGACTACCCAGGGTAAAATGTCACTTGAAGCATGGGTGACGTATTGGTTTGAGGCCAACAACAGGGGAGATGTAATGGTGTGCAGGGGAGAGAGCCAATGCCACTAGCCACTTCACGTTCGGACAACATTTATGTTGTATCCACGACTCTAACAAACTCAACAAACGAGTATTCAGTTTTCTTCTGGCGAGGAGACATGGTCTAAAGAACATGGAACAAGGAGGAAATAGATTGAGAACGGACACTAGAGCGGTAAGGATAGAAACAAGGACAGAAAACTAGATGAGAATAAGTGCAAACACTAAAAGGAAGCAGAAGAAGGCATACTACCCTTTTTATAGAATCCTCGCACATGTCAAGAATGCTAAACAGCATCGGGGAAGACAAATCGATATGATTGCAATTTCCCTACTAACGCTTAACAGAAAAGTAAAGTATGTAAAATTATAATCATACCCTAGTCAGGCGGGACAAACCGGTGCATTAATTTAAAAGTGGTGACACGTTGGCAACCACCACTTTA